CTGGGGTGGTCAGGAGCTGTCCTGGGCGCCTCTTCGGCAGTCTTGGGGCCTTCCTGGCCCGTTTCACGATTTGAGGTTCTCCGCGCGCTCTCGGGAGGCCGCTCGGAGCTCTCTTGAGGGCGCTTAGAAGCTTTCTGGGAGCCTGGAGAGCTGTCCGAAGGCTATCTTGGGTTGCTCGGGTGCGTCTTGGGCCGTTCTTTGACGTTCTGGGGGCTTCTTGGGGTCGTCTTGGGGCTCCCCGGGATGCCGGGAAACGCGGTACCAGGAGCGTTCCGCAGATGTCACGGGGAGGTGTTGGACCCCTGTTTGGGGGGGGGGGGCGTATTTGCTTATTCTCTATATGTATATATCTATATATATATGTATGTATATATATATATATATATATATGGACGGCCCCCCGCCTCCGCACCCATCAATCGTCTTCTTTTCGTTCACGTTATTCGTCCGTCCTTTTCCGTTCCTTCCTCCTCCGTGTCCCATGCGGTTCTCTGCCCCGTTGTCCTACGTCCTCCTTTCCGTGGTCTCCCTCGCTTGCCACTTTCCCTGTCGGCTGCGGGCGTTTTCTCAACTCTACGCAGAAAGCCCAACGCTTGCAGGGACGCGATCCTCCACAAAGGAAGACCCAAGCTTGCAAGAAACCTTATAATTTCATATGGCCCCTTCGGGCTCCGAATCACAGAAACCATATGAATTCGCAAGTTTCGCGACGTCAGGGTGCCCCGAACTTTATGATGTCATTCAGATTTCTGTGATTTCTGGAATGAGAATCCGAGAAACCTTGTGAGGTCATTGTGGCTTCTTTGGTTTGGGGGGTTTTGGAAGTGTGGAGCCCCGGGGGGCCTCCTGGATGGGTTTCGGTCGGCGCGATCTGCGTGAAGGGTGCGTCCAATGCTCTGATATATGCAAAAGGCCACGACTTCAATGAATCGCCTCTGAGCCGTTCTCCCTCGAAGAGGTGCGTATGATAATATGTCTATGATATATGTGTACATATACACATATGCAGTGAGAGAGACAGAGAGAGAGAGAGGGCGAGAGAGTGCCCACGCCACCGATAGAAGAGCCTGACATATTATCTCATCAACGCTCGACTTGGAAGCGACAGCGAGTCGTTCACGCTGCTGGCGCCCCCGCAATCTCTCAGACATGTCGAATCTTCTCTGAAAGCTATGGCAACAATGCCCGTGAGAAAACAACCTGCCCTCCACCGTATTCTCCGACATAAAGGGAGATATCGCCAAACTTCCGTCACCCCCGTCAGAGAAATCCGCGGTGTTTGCCATAACTGTCGAAGTATTTAAGTATGTGCATAAACTACTTTTGACTCTGCGATGCAGCATCGCAATCGTCATCGTGAAGGTGATAACGAGCACACCGCATCAAGCATCTGCTAGACAGACGGCTCGAGCTTCACAGCATAATCCGAAGTGCACTTCTCGCTCGGCAATGTAGCCACGAAGCCCAAGCATGCCAAGCGGGGCGAGTGTGCCCCATGGCCAGGGCTGAACAAGAGGTCGGGACGAACTTAGCTTGAACATGTGCATGGTACCAGTCGCCCAGCTGGGTAACAACGCATATAAGGACGAAAAGAGACCTTGGGACAATTTTGATTGCGCCAGGATTATGATTTCCCCTCCTTGTCCTCCTGGCCCTCCGTCATCCTTTCCCCGCCCCCCCCTTCTCACTCCTGCCCCTTCCCTTTGCACGGTTACCCGCTGATGTATTGCAACCGCTGCCTACCACTGCGAACTCAGTGGCCGTGTTCCGGCGCGCATGCACTTAGCGCTCAAATGTTCCTAATTTTTCGTGGCTTCCGTTCTTCCGTGACTTTCTGCCGATGCGCCGTGTAGGCGCGGCTTGTTCCAGTCCAGTCCAAGATTATGATTCGGGGCGGCGAGTGTCACCACGAACATATCGAAAGCAAATGGAAAGGAAAAGGAAGGAAGGCTGAGGCTGGTTTGTCCAACCGAACCATTGGATGACCCAGCAACTGAGGTCACCGTAGGACGAAGATACTAACTACCCCTGGCCAGAGCCCTGAGATGCAGCACAGAAAGGACCGTCAGGTGTTGACCACAAGCCTAGCGATGCCAAAAGCATCCCCATCCCCATGACAGACACTTCGCCCTTTCATGCACGAATTTACCATTAGAGAGCAGAGAGCAAGAATAAGGGAAGATGCGGGCGAGCAGTGTGACGAGTACGAGCATAAGGACGAAATTGCAAGAGCAGGATCAGAAAGATCAGGAGGGGTAAGAGGAGGAGGAGGAGGAGACTCTTTCTCTGCAGGCGCGGGCCGACACTCGAAGATCTGTGCTCCCCCGAGCTGCGCATGTGAGAAGCACTGCGGCATCTAAAAACTCCCAGGGCGAGACCCTGGTCGTTCTGTCAGCTGACAATTCTGGCCCCGTCCGTTGTATACAGTGGGAGCTCGGCCACAAAAAACCTCCGCAAGAAACCCAACCCTGAAATCCGCGATTTGTTCAGTGAAAATCCAAAGTTGTCGACGGAAAATCGTCAAGATCTTAGTGGAGGCCCATCGAAATCCAAGAAACCCAGGGCACCCTGGCAGAATCCAATTGGTTTCTTGGCACGCGCCCCCACTGTACCAGGAAGCTGGAAGTACGAAGCATGCGGCGGCCCAGCGCTGGATACACAGAAGCGGAGGACGCGCGTGCGCTGCCAAACGACAGCCGAACGCTAATAGTTGCGACCACGTGTGCGAAAGCTCGTCCATGCCTGCCGCGCGATTCGTATCCAGCTTCCCGATTGGCTAGCCCGAGGGCGTCCGATGCCCTCTCACTGCACGACACTTAGAGGCACGACCGTGACTCGGCGTGACTCGACGGCGCTCTCTCCCCCCTGCGCCCGTGAGAAGCATGCTGATCAAATCGCTGGGCCTGTGGCTGCATGTTGTCCTCTCCCCTCCGTCCTTCCCCATCCCTCCCCCATCCCCAGCGCGCCACACCGACTTCCAGGATGAGCTGACCCTCACCGCCCCCTCCTCCCCCCGCCAGGCGTTTCACCGAATCCCCCTTCTTTTAGGCGTAACTCCCCCCTGTCGCACCACCAAGCCTGCTGTCAGGGCGGGCTGGGCGCCTCGCCTGAAATCCTGCTCAAGCTGCATGACCTCTCGAAGCTTGAAATAGTCAACAGCCGCACGGAGGGAGCAGATGTCCAGTTCCAAATGGGGCTCTCGCCTGGGCGCCGCGCACACTCGTCATGCAGACAATCCAGCGTACAATGATGGTTGGGAGTGGTTTCCATCAAGGGCCTCACGCCCTAGCGCCCCGCACAGTCGTCACACACGCGCGCAGCAGCTACGCGGATGGACGCGGCTCGTGTTCAAGATGGCCTGAATATCGAGGTCGTTCAACACTTACACGGGTGGAAGACGGCTCCTTTGCGCCCCTTGACTCGGAACCAACAGATCTCATGCGAAAGGCGCCCCCGCTCCCGTTCCCTCCATGCTCACCTTTCTTCGTGGCCGCGTTCCCTCCATGTGCAATGAATCTCCTCCCCATCCTCCTCGATCTCACGAGAACGAGGCCCTTTCTGGAGCGCCCTAAGAGGCGGCTGTGCTCCTTCTTCCAACGGCAAAGTGGCCAGACCACCCTTGGCGCTCTGCAGCCCCGGCCGACGCACCTGCCGATCGCGAAGAAAGCCGAGTCGTCCCCGCACGCTCTGGCTGCGGGCAATATTTATGTCCATATCCAGTGCGTCTTGGACTTTCTTGGAAGAGGCGCCGCAAGGCCGAGGCGCACTGGATATGGATAAAAAATTGAGCCTTTTGGAAGCAGATTATAATCCATATCCAGTGCGCCTCATGTTTCTTGGGAAGAGTGTCCGAAACTCCAAGACGCACTGGATGTGGATAAAGACATTGCCCGCATCTGGCATCCGTGTGCGGAGCCGTGCTGTCCGAGCATCCGCACCCAAGCACTCAGAGAGCCTGCAAGGTAAATGCGGCCCTCCGTCCAATACGGAAGGAACGAAGCGCTCTCTGGCCCCGTCATGACATCCGATACACACATTAGAACCGAACTTCCTTGAGTCCTGGCTGCGTGAGGAGAGCGAATCATGCCCAATAAGAAGCACATACGCTCAAAATAAACATATACAAAGATTATGTCGTTGCCCTCCTCCCGTGTACGTTTTGTTGTGGCTGCGTTTGAGGCCATTGAATGAACGACCCATGCTCAAGTGTATCGTCGGTTCCGATGGCTGACGTTACTTCCCTATTCTTATCCCCGGCCCCTATCTCTACCCTCTCACCTTTCCCTCCACCATCCTGCATCAGGGATCCCTCCTGCATCCTCCCTCCTCCTCATCCTCCTCCTCATCCTCCTCTTCCTCCAACTCCTTCTAATACGCATACGCCTTCTCCCTCCTTGAGGTCCTCCCTCGTCCTCCTGCTCCTGCTCCTCCTCATATTCTGACGGGGCACGGCTTAACAGTACTACAGACCTGAAGTATGTAGCATCCACTTTCGCCCACAATCCAAATCATAGTTGAAGCGTTTCTGTGGCACGAACTCATACTGTTCCTCCTCATCCTCCCTCCTTGTCGTCGTCGTCCTCCACCTCCTCCTTGATCACCAGGTCTTAGTCCTCGTCCTCTGCCTCTGGCCCATCTGCCCACCTCGTCAATCCGACGTCCATCATCCACACCCCATGCTCTCTCATCCCGCTTCCCTGTCCATGTCTCCCTGCTCTCCCCATCCTCCATGCCACACTGCGTATGAACGATACCGGGAGAGCGCATGCTGCCTGGGGTTGCATCGCAGCTACAGGGGGTCACCATGCAACAGTTACGGGCCCCGCGAGCAGAGGCGCGCGTACACTACGACATGGAACACAGGAAACTACTCACCAGAAGCAGGGGTATCGTTCCACACCACGTGCTCCTGCTGTCCAGGACCAGCAATGCTCTCTTCTGCCTCCTCATGCCCACCTTCTCAGCCGACGCACTCCCAGGAGCACTCAGGGTGCCAGCTGCTATTGCAGGCCAGCCCGCAGTGTATCCTTCGCGCGCTTGAGGGTACCTGGCGCGCCCGCGGACCCTCCTCTCCCGCGCGTCCTCCCACCCTCCTCCTCCACGTCCTCACTACTCCCTCCCATGATTTCTGGTTCCCCTGCTGGGGTCTTTGTCACGGCGTGGAATCTGGTGTTCACAGTGAGGTGTCCCTCGAAGTTGCCGATTGAAGTATTTGTATCGAGTGCCTGTGATGGCTGCTATCGCAGATGGGGCTCTGGTGAGCCTCAAACACACCCTCCTTCCCCCTCGTAGTTCTGAGCCATATTTATTCGGCCTCTCCCTCCCCTGTCCCCCTCTCCATCTCCGTTTCCCGTTCTCCTTCCCCCGCATGTCCTGTTCTTGTTGGCTCGAATGTGGGGAGAGGGGGGGCATCTGTGCAACTCATCCCCAGCATGCAATATGCTCATCTGGGCCATCTGCCCTGCCCCCCCCCCCCCCACCACACACACACACACACACACACACACACACACACACACACACACACACACACACACACACACACACACACACACACACACACACACACACACACCCGAAGCTCCACGACATACCTCTGATACCTCCGAGTACATACTCCCACCCCTCCATTTCACCCCTCGACCCTGTCTCTGCCACACGCTGGCTCCCTGCATCAATTCCCTCACCAATGCTGGCTCGCATGCGCGCGCGAAAGAACACCGATCGTATATTCACAGCATCCTTTCCGACAACTCCCGCTCCCCCCTCCCCTGCCCTCCCCTCTCAGGCCCACTCCTGAAGCCAAGCACACCCTCCCCTTCCAAGTTCCAGGCTCCCCGCGGCACGTCTCAAGCCCTCCCTCCACCCCTGCCACCCCGCCGCCCACAAGCCCCCTCAACCTCCCATCCCACGAGATCAGGAAGACACCTCAAGGGAGGCAGGGACAGACGAGGAGGGGACTCGGGAGAACGAGGAAGGAGAGGATGGGATGCGGTGGAGAGGGGGGGGGAGAGTAGGCGGACGAGGTGGAGGCGGAGGAGAGGGAGGGGAGGGGGAGGGGGCAGGTCCGCCCTCCTTTCCCAAGCACTCCTTCTCCCCCAAAGCTGGCATGTCCTTCGCACTGTCACGCACGCATGACAAAGACCACTCACGGCCACACAGCGGCATCCAGGATCCAGAGAACGCGAACGCGGTCCGTACCCACGGCGGCGTGCACGCCATGCACACGCACCGCATGCGTGGTTGGACTGTCGCGTGCGCACCATCGTGTCGAATCGCCGTACCCCGTCCGCGGCAGGGGTGTCGAGCAAACCCACTTGCATACTGTCTAGCTGTGTGATGGATCGACCCCCCAGTCCTGCCTGAGCATGAGCCAACATGTCCACGGGGGAGGTAGAGAGGAACGATAGGGGAGGTGGATACATGAGGTGGGACGAGCACGGGGGCTAAATACGAGTGAACAGGAGTGAGGAGAGGGAAACGGGAGAAGGCGGGAAGGTGATGGGCCTGAGCGATGAAGTACGAGGCAGGAGGAGGAAGGAGGGGGGAAGACGCCCCAGGCAAAAAAAAGAATGGGGAAACCAAGAGATACATATACCGCTACTTCCGGGACCACACCTGGGGTTGGTTCTGGCCAGAATCTTAAGGCGAATCCAGCGTTGGCGACGAGGCCCTTCGAGGCGGCCCACAAAGGCGAAAACGAGGCAAGGGTACTGGTATCCGTGCATTTTCCTCTGAGGGGGAGGACCTTTGCACACCCGACATGGGTACGGCAAGCAAGGGTACGATGCCCAACAACGAGTGCTGCCCAAAACAGACAACGGCCGCTGTTGGGCAGGTGGCCTTCTGTCTCAAATGGACAACGTCCGCAACGACGCCGACAAGGGCTCCTGTCCAGAACGGACAAGGAATGATTCGCGACTTTTGTATCCGTTCTTTCCGTACTTGAGCAGGGACCGACCGTCCCGGCATTCCTGTAGTCCTACCACGAAATGTTCTTAGAACGCAAACATGTTCCAATGACCAAAAAATGTTCTTAGAACATAAGCCCGATGTGTTAAAGCAAAACAGCTCCAGCCAGAAATGTTCCAAGAACATGTTGTAAAAAACACCAAAGGGTTCTTAGAACACTGCTTGGTAGGGCTATAGGCGCGCCAGGACGCTTCGCGACTGCTTGACGAGAGCCAGACCCCGAGGGGGCCCTGGGCCACACGCAAATAAATACACACAAATAAAATGATTCCCCATATTTCTCCATAGTTCCTGGGTTTCTGTCTTCCCCCCCACCTCCCATATTCTCCTACATTTTCCTGGGATTCGACGATTAATTGTGTCTGTGTGTTTTCCTCTCCTGATATAGGGGCGCGAGGACGCTTCTCGACTGCTTGACGAGAGCCAGACCCCGAGGGGGCACGCCGCCGGCTCAGCAGCGCGGCGTCCCCGAAGCGCTGCGGGGAGGCCGCGGCCAGCGCGGCGAAGGCGCCCGCGGCGTGCCCCTCCGCAGGCTCCTCCTGCCGCGCCGCCGGCTGCGCGACCGGGGCACCGCCAGTCAGAAAAAAACACGCAAGTCTGTGGGGGAAAACACACACACAAAACAAACAACACAACACACACATAATACACATATTGTGGGAAAAAACACAGACACACACACACAAAAACACACACACACACACAAACACACACACAACAAACACACACACACACACACACTGTGGGAACAAAAACAGACTGTGGGAACAACAAAAACACAATGTGGGACAAAAACAGCGGTGGGAAAAAAAAACACGGGTGCTGCCATGGGGAACGCTGCTTCAGGAACGAGTGGGCTTTCCAGGCCCCAGCGAGCTTGGGCCACAAATTGGCCACGCGCCGAGGGAGCAGGCCGGAAGCCAACGGCTTGGCCGTGCGGTCGGTAACTCTTGAGTAGCGCGTCGCTGCGGCGGCCCCGGCGGCACGATGTGCCCAGCGAGTGGATAGCGTGCCGCGCGTCGCTCTGCGGGGCGGGAGGCGGGAAAGGCTCGGGACGTTGACGCTCGGGGACGTCGCTGTTCAGATGTGGCATATGGGGATGCGGGGCTCTGCCCAGCCAACGGGGAACGAATCACGACAGAAACATGTAAATTTTGAAGGGTCCGCGCTGACCTTTTGGATCGGCACTGGAGCCCCTGGCAGCGCCTTCAGCGCTGCTGATGGCATGCTACGCGCGCCAGGGAGGGGGGTCCAGCGACGACCAGGACATCGCCGGTCAGATATGGGGATACGGACGTGAACTGTCCCATAGCGTGTCGCGGTGGCGGTCCCGGCGACACGCTATGCCCCGCGAGCGGATAGCGTGTCGCGCCGCTCCATGGGGCGGGAGGCTGGGAACGGCTCGGGATGTGGTGCTCCTGCCAGTCATCGTGCAACATTTAATTGCGCAAGCACTTATACTTTCGGAGATCCGCGCGGATTTCTTGGATCGGCGTTGGACCCCCTGGCGGCGCCTCTGGCGCCGCCCCTGGCAAGCTTTGCGCGCCAGGGAGGCGGCTGCAGCGCAGATCCGATCCGCGGACCTCCGAAACTTTCTGGTCAGGAGCTTTTGCACAGCGTGTCGCTGCGGCGGCCCGCGAGCGGATAGCGTGTCGCGCCGCTCCGCGGGGCGGGAGGGTGGGAAAGGCTCGGGACGTTGAGGCCTGGGGACGGCGACATGGACAACGCGTCGTGCCGAAACGTTGTGGGCCAGCACCGGCGGAACGACACGCTAAGTCAAAGTTCCCGACCGCATGGGGGTGCGGGGCTCCTGCCAGTCAGAGGTGCAGGGCGGGGCCCCCTGCCTCCCCCACACCCGTCCTCCGGCAATGCCAAGCAATGCCAAGCGCTGCGCTCATGTAATAGGAAGATTCCCCCCAATTGGGGTCGCGCCGGGTTCATCAACATGTGAAGGTCGCCTCAGCGCAGTGCACATTCTGTCTAAAAATTCGCCAGAGTTTCATGGATGGAAAGCGGGTGGTTTTCAACATGTGGCTCTCGCCCTAGCGCCGCGCACATTCGTTTTAACACATTGCAAGAGCTTCACGAATTGAGGGCGGCTCGTTTTCAAAATGTGGCTCTCACCTTAGCGCCGTACAAATTCGATTTAAGCATTTACAAGAGTTTCACTGATTCTCACGGTAACGTACCAGAAACGGCGATTCGGAACGATTCAGGACTGTCAGGGCGTTACAGTGACGTTGGTTCGCGGTTCTGAAGACCCAGGAATGGTGTCCTGGCACGATTCAGGATGGCCAAGACGTAGCTGTCAGGTTCACTCGTGGCGTTGAAGTCCTGAGAACGGTGTTTTGGCACACGGTTGTCCCCCAACGGAGCAATCCCCAGTGGAAATGACCCCCTGCAGGGGACTGTGAAGAGGGATCTTGGAGGGAGGGTGTATTTCATCATCGTTGATGAATCTTGGGTTTACACTTGTCCTCCTCCTCTTCCTCCTCCTCCTCCTCCTCCTTCTCTTCCTCCTCCCCCTCCCCCAGGTTCGGCATCGACGATGTATGGGATATGGGATTCCATGGTCCAGGGGAGGGATGGAGTCGGAGCGCAGACACTTCGGATGCAATTCTGGACGCACGGCGCACGGGACCCGACGTCGTGCGAAGGGAAGAGAGGGGGCGAGGGAGAGAGGAGGGATCGGGGGGGAGGCACGAGAGCAAGGATTGGGGATCGATCGAAGATTTTGGACGCGTGGGGCCCTGTGTGGGCTTCTGGGGGCCTCCGGCGGCCTCTGGGGCGCGGACACCTCCGTCGACTTCTGGAGACCCCAAGAGGAAGAAGGGGGCAGGCAGGAGCCAGAAAGGAGGATGGAGGAGGGCGGAACGAGGAACGCTTGAGAGAGGAGGTGGGAGGGACGACCAAGGCAGGGTGAGAAAAGTAAACAGAAAGGCGAGCGAAAGGCACGGAACGGGCGCGCACTCTGCAGAGCCAGGTCACGAACTGTCCTCCACGAGGTAAGTGAGCGGCACCTCCACGTTCGCTATGCCTCGCCAAGATCCTGGTTGGGCGCGCGGCGCAGGGGCGGCCGGCATCGGAGAAGAGTTCCGCCAGAGTCCCCAATTGCCAGGGCCCGACGCCCTGGCACTACATCCCTCAGTCGGCAGAGGCGGCATGGGGTACAACTTATGGCATGCAGCTTGCGGTGCACAAGCCATGGTGCAGGAAGCTGATGGGGCGCAAGTCGCATGATGCAGCCTGTGCGGTACATCCTACGGCGTGCAGCCTCATGGGGCTCAACATTCGGACTGCAACTTGCGGGGTGCAACCTACGTAGTGGAACTCATGGGGCACAATATGAAGGACTAGAGTAGAACAGTACCAGCGCGCTTAGGTCATACTCGAGCGCATTATGCAGCATATGTTCCATGCGCAAACACATGGGTGGCCAAATTCATAGACCCCGCACAAAAAGACCTCACGAGTCTTCAAGACTACCACCAAGAGAGCCCTAATCCCGCCCCCAGAGGGCTTGAGAAACTTTCAGGAAGCTGCGCGCACTAGTGACAGTATTGGGACTTGCTATGGCTTCTGGGGCGGCCTTGGGCTCTTGGGGCTATTGAGGATGCCTTGGGACGTCGTTAGACCCCCTCGAGAGCCTCTTGGGGCCCCTTGGGACTGTTCCAGGATCGCCTTGAGACAGTCTTGAATGACGGGCTGTGCTTGGGGCATCTGGGAGCCGCATGATGCGCTCTCGAGGCCTCCCAGTATCCTCGGTGTCCTCCCAATGCTGACCTCAAGACGATTCCATCGTGAGACCCTCTCTGACCCTAGGAAAACTGAAACATCCAGGAGGGCTGTCCGAGGAACTTCCCTTTGACTATCCTTTAAACGCATTTAGGGCCGTCATGGGCTGGATTGGGCTCTCGGAGCACTGTTTGAGGCATCTTGCGCCTGGTTGCCCCCTCGTGGGCCATCTTGGGGGGAGGGGAAGGCGAACGCGGAAAGGCCAAGACGGGGTGTGCGAAGAAACCACAGAAGGGGTCTGCCTCAAGTGCGGGTTCACGCAACTAGTTCCCCGTCTACCATGTCATGCCTTGTAAATATGTAAGAATGAGAACTAGGAGGACGTGCGATGTCGTGCTCGCATATACGAAGAAAACACGTTGACGTGAATATGAGGCATGCGTGGATATTCGAACCAACGATGGGAGATACACCAGCGCAACTGCGCAATGAAACTGGAGGCTCAAAAGTACCGTGGAGGAGCGCGGGTGCGGATTGTCTGAAACAGCCATAGCACCATGTGTTCAATAATCGCAATGTTCACAACTGGGGAGATTGCAACTCCTCCCTGATCCCAGAGGGGGGGAGGGCTTGACTCACAAAGACACGCGGCACGGGGGGAGGCGAAGGCAGCTCGAGCACACAACGTGCCAAGGGAAATCGCTCGACGCCTTCCCATGCGAGCGTGCGGAAGGATCGGAGACGATCGATAGGGCACCAAATACTGTCGAACAAATGAAGAATGCTGGCGCCAAGCAAGTCTTCGATTCTTCAATGTCTGAAAACACGGAACAACGTAAGGATGCCTTCGCCAATTTGGGTTTCAGGGTAATACACCTACCCCTTGGCGTGTTCTCGGCGTGTGAGATGATTGCCCCACCCCAGCCCTTCCTCAAGGAGCCCAGTCCAACCAATTTGGAGGACGGGTCCCACTTATTTTTCTTGGCCCGAAAAGCTCCAACGCGCCCACAGTTCGCCCCAAAACGCCTCATGACGGTCGACAAGCGCTCCAGGACGCCCCAAGGTACGCCCGAGAAGACCCCGCACAGCCCAGAGGCTCCCAGAACAGCCTGAGAGCCCAAGGGAACGCCAAGAGGGCGCCAACAGGCACACATCAGTGATGCCAATCTGTGAAACACTGCCTCAGAGCGCGCCTCACCGCGCGGCGGCGTCGTCGTCGCTACACCTGGGCGGCTCCAGAGGCCAACCCCTGACCTGGGCGCCGCAGACGGCCCGAGAGCGCGTCCGTGGCAAGAACGATCTTCGCAAACACTCAGAGCACGTCCCACTCCGCGCCAGAGTTTTGGACGCCCGAAATGGGTACGGAAAGAATGGGCACAACGCCCAACAACAAATGTTGTCCCAAACCAACAGCGGCCGCTGTTGGGCAGGCGGCCTTCTGTCTCGAATGGACACAGGCCGCGGCGGCGTGGACAGCGAGTCCTGCTCAAAATGAACAAGAACTGCTGTTGGGCATCGTACCCGTTCTTTCCGTACCCATTTCGGGCATCCAGAAGAGTTTCTTCTGCTCGGTGAAGGCCGATCAAGACTGATCGCGATGCGAGACAAGAGCCATTTGGACACCCTTCTTTAAAACATGTTCAATTGAAATGAGTCGCTACTGGGGAAACCAAGGAGTGCGGATACCGCTGCTGCAGGGGCCTCTCCCCGAGTGCGCTCTGACTGGAACTGCAAGGAGGATCCAGCCGTGGCGACGAGCGCGCCCCGGGAGTCCCCTAAGCGCAGCAACGAGGCAGGGGTAGCAGTATCATATTGGTACAGTGCCGTTTTTAATACATGCTCCGCGTGCGGATCATGTATCAAAAATTCAAGGGTTTAGTATTGAAAACAACGATGAGTTCATGCATAAATCTATTCATAAATTAGTCATGCATTAAAATCCCATATGTTTAAACAATCCTGTGTATTAAAAACTGCCCTGTACCCTTTCCTCCTCGAAGCCGCATCGCGCGATCGCTCGACCCCCAGGGAGAGCGGTGGCGGGGCGAGCGCGCGGGTCCTCCAGCGTCTTTGCCGGCGGGGACGGCGGCCTGCGGGCGCCCGCCGCGGCCAGAGAGCACCGCGGGGCGCGGCTGCGGCGGGGCGAGGGGGCGCGCCAGCGCTGCGCGGTGCTCAAGAGACAGCGATACCCCGTGCAAGTGCGATAAAAGACGATGCCATGCTGTTCAAGTGTGGTAAAAATACCAGCGGCTCCAGTGTGAGAATAATGCGACAGAAAATTGTGCAAGAGCGATAAGCAAACAGAGCATCTTTGTAACTGCAGCGCGCGATTGCGCATAATAACGCTTGAGCGAATAATCGTTTTTTTGTTCCAAAACCACACGCGAAACGAGTTGTGTTATCACACTTGAGCAGAGCGTCGATATCGCTCGCGCACCGCGCGGCGCTGGCGCGCCGATGCCTTCGAGCGGCGCACGAAGGTGAGCGGAAAGCGGCAAGAGCGGCGGCGCCCCGCCGGCGACGCTGGGGAGAAGAGGTGGGAGGGGGGGACGTCGGCCGCTCGGACGCAGCATGGCAGCAGCCCGTGCGCCGAGCAGCGTGTGACTCCGCCCTCTCGAGGGGAAAGGTACTGCAATGGTGTGCGGCTCTGCCCGCCCGCCCCCCTGACGAAATGGGGAGCGCCCAGCCGTGAGCCCGAGGCACGCAGCCCAAAGCAGGCAAACGGAGGGGTGTGCGAGGCAGGGGAGGAAAGCGAACGTGTTCCGATGACCTCTCTTGTTGTCCCTCCAGAGGCCTCATGGGTGGGCCTCAGTGTGCCCCCGACACCGTGGACCTCAAAAACAAAACCAATTACACTACAAATTACAGCAACACCAACAACAGCACCACCAACAAGAACATCATCAACAACAACCAACAACAGCATCAACAACACCAACAACAATAACAGCAACAACAACAGCATCAGCAGCAACATCAACAGCAACAACAACAACAACAACAACACCAACACCAACAGTCACAACAATCAGTTTAGACCGATCGTTCGTATCTGCTCGCGGGCCATTCAACACGTGTTCCCCCAACTCTCGATACCCGTCCTCTTCGTCTTCGATCGTACCCACTTCGGGGTGTATCTTCCATACCTGCAACATGTATTGCGTGCAGCCACCGAAGCAGGGGAAAACAGGACGGATGGAAGGAAAGGACAAGGGGAAGGGATAATGATGGAGCACGGGAGAGAGTATCAGAAAGGGGAGATAGAAGCAGAAAACAAGTGGCAGAACCAGACGGGCAGATCGGGCGGATAGGCCCGAACGGGCGGGTCAGGATTGCGAGCCCAGGCGGCCAGGTCGAGCAAGCGGGTTGCTGAAGCGTGCGTCGTGCATGAATCGCGAGGACGTCTCGAACGACAGCGCGATCTGCAACGGGGCCACGAAAGCAGCGAGGGGGCCACGATGTAACGGGGCCACGAAGGGTAGCAAAGGGTCCACGAAGGGCGGCAAAAAAACAATTTTTGTTCCCGGTCAACTGGGGAATTTCCCGATAAACTGGGTTTTTTCCCGGTCAAACACCTCTGAGAAATTCTGACAGGTTCTCGTGAGGTTCTGAAAGGTTCTGACAGCTTCTGACAGATTCTGACAGATTCTTAGATCTGAGATTCTCAGTGATTCTGATAGTTTCTGATAGGTTCTGGGAGATTTTCAGAAATTGTCAGAGATCCTCAGGGAGTTTCAGAGATTCTCCGAGATTTTGAAAGATTCTGATAGATTCTGGAAGATTCTGAGAGGTTCTGAAAGGTTCTGAAACATTTTCAAATATTCTGACAGGTTCTCAGAGGTTCTCAGAGATCCTGCGCCTTTCTGAAAGGTTCAGACAGATTCTGAGCGAGTCTGACAGATTCTGAATTCTGAAATATGGTGAAAAATTCTCAAAGATCCTGATAGATTCTGAGTCTGAGAGGTTCAAAGAGATTCTCAGAGATTCTCATAAGAGTCTCAGAGATTCTGGAAGATGCTGGTCGATTCTGAAATATTCTCAAAGATTCTAAAAGGTTAAAGACTCTCCAAGATTCTGCGAGGTTCTCAGGGATTCTCACAGATTCTAAAAGATTCTGAGAGGTTCTGAAAAATTCAGAGACAGGCTGAGAGATTTCTGAGATAGGTTAGAAGATGCTCAGAGCTACTGAAAAATCTTAGTCTGAGAGGTTCAGAAAGAGTCTGAAAGAGTCTGAGGGAGTCTGAGAGATTACTAGACTTTCTCAGAGATGATCAGAAAGTTCCAGAGAGAGTC